GGCAGCCAGGTGTGGTGAGTGTCAGAAACACCTGGTTCTGAGTTCTGGCTCCAGCGCCCCAGGGCCAGGGCCTCTCGCAGCCTGAGCCCATCTCCTCAGCATCCATCACCTGCTCTCCGCACTCCCAGGCCCCTGCCCTAGGGGCTCACGCAGAAACCCTCTGGACACTTACATCAGCGTGGTCTTGTCTTCCAAAGTACATATCTGAGGAAATGGCTTTGACGTTGCCAAACTTCTTCTGGGCCTCATCTGTGTTTCCAACTGGCTCATAGTCGGGCTTGCGGCGAGTCGTAGGCCTGCAGTTAGGAACAGCCGAAGTCGGAGTGACATCAGCAAGACGGCAGGAGAGGAGCTTTCCGCCACCCTGCTCCTCCCGACCCCGATCTCAGTCCCCCCTGGTGGGGTCGAGTCCAGCAGAGGTGCCAGCACACCGGGGGCCAGCAATCCAAGACGGGGCGCACTGGCGAAGGCGAGGGGGCCAGTTTCACTTGGCTCCCAAGATGGCACAGCTCGGTGCCAAGAGACCCACTTGGCCCGCAACTTCTCCCGCGGGGGAGGTGAGAGGGCAGTGAGTGGTGCCCGGTCCCCCGCCGTGTGGGCCCTGGCCACAGGCTGGCAGCACGGGGTCCTACTAAACACTTGGCAGGCTCCACGGGGAGGCCGGCCCACAGCCTGCTGGGCACTTTATCTGCGGAGCTGCCAACTGGCCCACGGTGCCGTCCACTGCTCTGCGCGCTTCACCACACAACCCTCCCCCCGCCATGGCTGGCACCCTGCACCTGCAGATGGGGGTGCAAGCCTTTGCAGACAGCCAGTGGGCAGGTGCAGAAAGCCGCCTGGTGCTGTGGGCCTGGGAGGAGGCACATGAACCTTGCATTTCAGGAAAGGAAACCCCAGGGAGCCCCCAGCCCGGCCTGGCTCTGTGGGGGTGAGAGAGATGTACCGTCTTCAGAATCCACCCTGGGAGGGAGTCAGTGTGGAGCGTGCATCCACACAGGGTCTGAGAAAGCCTCCGGATGCCCAGTAGGGCAACTGGTGAAGGCACTGCTCACCCAAAGCCAGCCAGTCGCTAACTGTGGAGGAGGCGAGGCTTCCTCAAGGCAAAGGCAGGAACATGGACAGTCACGGAAACGCGACACCACAGTCGCCTTCCAGTAGCTGCCCCCAGAACTGCCTGGCAAAGAATTCAAAATAAGGTTTTAAGGCAGCTCGGCCACCTACAGGAATCGGCAAGATAGACAACTCAACAAAATCTGGAACGTTACACTAACACTGAGGAGTTCAACAGAGACAAAGAAACCATAAACTAGAACCAGACAGAAACTCTGGGGCTGAAGAACACAAAACTGCAGCAGAGAGCATCCACCTCTGACTTAAGCAGAAGATAGAATGTGTGAACTGGAAGATAATTCATTGGAAATTATCCGGTCAGAGGAGAAAAAAAGAATGAAAAAGGGAAGAAAGCCTACAGGAATTACGGGATGCTCTTAAGAAGATAACACATTATGGGAGACTGAGGAGAAGAGAGGGAGGAAGAGACGGAAAGTGTATTTAAAGAAATAATGGCTAAAAACTCCCCCAATCTGGAGAAAGACAGGGACATCCAGGTGGATGAAGCTCATAACCCCCAAACAGACCCGATCCAATAAACTGTCAGAGATCGAAGACAAGGAGAATTTTGGAAGCAGCAGAGCAAAGACACTCGTCGCAGACAACGGGGCTCGGGGAGGCTGTGAGCAGGCTGCCCAGCAGAGCCCTGGAGGCAGGAGATAGTGGGTGACATTAAAGCTGCTAAAAGGCCCGGCTGGGGAGCCCAGTTGGCTAGAACATCGTCCTGAAATGCCAAGGTTTCAGGTTCAATTCCCCGTCAGGGCACATACAAGAACAAACCAATGAATGCATAAATAAGTGCAACAAATCGATGTTTTTCTCTCTAAAATCAATCAATAAGTAATTTAAAAAAAAGCAAACAACTGCTGGGGACTCTTTCACCCTCTCACATGGGAGTCTGTACTTGTTCTTCAATAAATTCCCACCTTTGCTAGACCATCTTCTGTCCGTGGATTCATTCTTCGACTCCGACGGACAAAGAATCCGGGAACCATCCTGCCCAGGGGAACCCTGCGTGTTCCAGTCCAAAAATCCCATATCAGAACGAAGTAGGACATATATTCAGATTATTTGCATAAAACATAAATATAAAGCTCAAAGAATGACCACAGTGAGCACGTGAGTAACCACTAGGCATCCAGACAGGTGAAGAATTAGAAGTTGGCAGCAATCCAGAAGTGAAGTACCCTTGGGGCCACTGACTGTTTTCCTCTAACCCTTAGTGATGAACATGTCCACCTCCAGCTTGGGGATATAAAGAATAACGCTCGCCCTCGCTGGTGTGGCCCAGTGGACAGAGCATCCATCAGCCTGTGGACCGGAGGATCGTGGTTCAATCCAGGCCGAGGGGAATGACCTTGATTATAGGCTTGGTCCCTGGGCCCAGTCAGGGTGCTTAAGGAGGCAACCAATCGATGTGTCTCTCTCATATCAACCGATGTTTCTTTCTCTTTCTCTCTCCCCCTCCCTTCCACTATCTCTAAAATATCAATGGAAAAGGTATCCTCAGTGAGGATTAACAAACAAACAAACAAAACAAATAACGCTGTTCTAAACACAGGGCATATATAAAATTTTTTGGGTTGTGTATATAGATAGGAGTTGAATTGCTGGGTCAGAAAATGATGCTAGTTTTCCAAACTGGTGTTACCAATGTATTCCCCCATTAAAAGTATGAGAGTCTCTGCTCTTTTCTATCTTACTAGAAGCCCGTTGCATGAAATTCGTGCACTCGGGGGCGGGGGGGTGTCCCTCAGCCCGGCCTGCGCCCTCTCACAGTCCAGGAGCCCTCAGGGAATGTCCGGACCATCAGTCAGACGTCCTGGGAGAGGCTCCTGCCACTGCCGCTGCGCTTGCCATCCATGAGCCCGGCTTCTGGATGAGGGGTGCTCCCCCTGTGGGAGCGCACTGACCACCAGGGGGCAGCTCCTGCATTGAGTGTCTGCCCCCTGGTGGTCAGTGTGAGTCATAGCGGCCGGTCATTTTGCCATTCGGTCGATTTGCATATTAGTCTTTGATTATATAGGTCTAGAGGCCCGATACATGAAATATGTGCAAGGGGCTTGGCCCTCGCAGCCACCGCACTGCCTCAGCCCTCGCAGCTACGGCTTGGTCCGAAAGGTCATCTGAAAGGTCGTCCAGACAGTCGTTCTGCTGTTCGGCCGTCCAGTTTAATTAGCATATTATGCTTTTATTATTTTAGACTAGTAGTTGGTGTTGCTAAATGTCAATAATTTTGAGAGAACCAAGATGGCGGCATAAGTTAACGCTGGAGTTTGCTGCCTCGAACAACCACTTCAAAAGTGAAACTAAAAGATGGAACGGACATCACCCAGACCCACAGGAACGCTGGCTGAGTGGAAGTCCTACAACTAGGAGGAAAGAGTAACGCATACGGACACTCAGAGGAGGCGCAGTGCTGAAGTCAAATTCTGAGGTGCGGAGTGTGCGGATTTAGCCTCAGGCAAAGGCTAGATTAGCACCTCCCTAGAGGACAGTAGTTCTCTCACTGCAGACACAGCTGATTCTCACAGCCACTTGGCCTGGAGGTCAAATCCCCCCTGGTGTTAGCTACAACAATCAAGGCTTAACTAAAAGACTGCTCACAAAGACCACTAGGGGGTGCACCAAGAAAGCATAACAAAATGTTCCTCTCTCTCTCAAAAATCAATTAAAATATTTAAAGAAAAAACAAACAAACAAATAAAAAACAACAAGACACAACTCCAGGCTGCCTTCGGGACACACATAGGTTGACAGTTAAGAGACCAAAAGAGAGTAGGGGAGCCATATTTATATTAGGAAACACACGGTAAGCCAAAGCCTGTAACAAGAGACAAAGGGCATGGAATGGTAAAGGAGGCAGCTCACCAAGAGTAACAACAATTGTAAATATCTGTGCACCCAGCAGATCTGCCAGGAGAAACAGACAGTACGGCAACAGTGAGGGGCTTCAATGCCCCACTTCAGCAACGGGCACATCACCCTGACAGAAAACCCACAAGGAAAACTGCACTTGAACTGCATGTTAGACCAAACGGACCAACAGACATATTGAGGGCATTTCATCCAACAGCAGCAGCACGTGCATCCAAAGTGCACACAGAACACCCTCCAGGACGCGTCACATGCTAGGTCACGGAGCAAGTTTACATCACGTGAGGCCTTAACAAACCTAACAAGATTGAAATCATATTAAGTATCTTTTCCAACCACAACGGTTATGAAAGCAGAAATCAACAACAGGAGGAAAACCGGAAAATTCACAAATATGTGGAACTAACACATTCCTGAACAGCCACAGGGTCAGAGGAGAAATAAAAAATGTCTTGAAACAAAGAAAATGGAAACACACATCCCAACACTTACGGGCTACAGCACAAGCAGTTCTAAGAGGCAAGTTTATGGCCAACAGGCAGGCACATGGAAAGGTGGTCAGCATCACTGATCATCTGGGGAGCGCAAATCAAAACCACAATGAGGCATCATCACCAAAAAGACAAGCAGTAGCCCTGCCAGCGTCGCTCAGTAGTGAGAGAATTCGTCTTTCACACTTGAGGGTCGAGGGTGCGATTCCCTGGGTTGCAGGTTCAATCCCAGCTCCATCGAACTGCATGTGGGAGGCAACCAGTCGATGTGTCTCTCTCACATGGATCTCTCTCTCTCTCTCTCTCTCTCTCCCCGCTTCCTCCCTCTGCCCTCTCTCTCTCCTACTCCCTTCCATCCTCTCTAAAAATCAATGGAAAAAATATCCTCCAGTGAGGATTAACAATCCTATATAATAAAAGAGAAAAATGGTAATTGGCATACGATGATACCCTATATGCAAGTTAACTGCCAACTCAGATGGCAGTTAACTGACAACAAAATGGCGGTTAATTTGCATATGTAGGCACAATGCAGGGAGGCAAAAGGGAAAGCAGGAAGAAGCCCCCTGCCACTGACAGTGATCGGAAACCCAGGGGGGCACTAAGAGCCCCCAGGGCCGCCTTTGCCCTGCCCCCCAGCCATGATCGGAGAATCAGGCGCCTTTGCCGCCCTGGCCAGTGATAGCAGGAAGTAGGGGTGGAGCCAGCGATGGGAGCTGGGCAGGGTCGAAGCTGGCAGTCCCGGGAGCTAGGGGTCCCTTGCCTGGGCCTAAAGCGGAGCCCACGATCGCAGGGCCGCTGCCACTGCGGGTCCCCGCTGCCCGGGCAGGACGCCTCGGCCAGAGGCGTTAGGCCTGGGCAGGGGCAGAGCCTGTAACCGTGGGGAGCTGGGGGTGCCCTGCCCAGGCCTGACACCTCTGCCGGAGGCCTCAGGCCTGGGCTAGGGACCGATCCGGTGATCAGCGATCGGATGGTGATGAGGGTCAACTCCTCTGGCCGAGGCATCAGGCCTGGGTGGGGGGCGGAGCCAGGGATTGGGGGGATATGATGGTCCCCTTGCCCAGGCCTGAAGCCTGGGTCAGAGGCGTCAGGCTTGGGCGGGGGGGCGGAGCAAGCGATCAGAGGGAGATGGGGGTCCCCTGCCCAGGCATGATTCCTGGGCCAGAGGCATCAGGTCTGGGCGGGGGTCAGAGCCGGTGATGGGGGGAAAGGGGGGTTCCCTGCCCAGGCCTGAATCCTGGGCCAGAGGCATCAGGCCTGGGCCAGGGGCAGAGTCAGCAATCAGAGGGGTCTGGGGGTCCCCTCCCAAGGCCTGACGCCTGGGCCAGAGGCATCAGGCCTGGGCTGGGGGCAGAACCAGTGATGGGGGGAAATGAGGGTCCCCTGCCCAGGCCTGACGCCTCTGGTAGAGGCATCAGGCCTGGGCAAGGGGCCGATCCTGCAATTGGAGATTGATGGGGGTCAATAACTGAGGGCTCCCAGTATGTGAGAGGGGGCAGGCTGGGCTGAGGGACACTCCCCCTCACCCCCACCCAGTGCATGAATTTCGTGCACCGGGCCCCTAGTAAAACAGTAACAAAAAGAAGACAACAGGTAAGTATTGGTGAGGATGGGAGAAAAGGGAACCATTGTACACTATTGGTGGGAAGGTAAATTAGTGCAGCTCCCGTGGAAAACAGTATGAAAGTTCCTCAAAAAATAATATAAGTATCAGATGCTCTAGTCATCTCACTTCTGGGTGTGTACTTAAAGGAGAAAAAGTCGCCCTAACCGGTTTGGCTCAGTGGATAGAGCGTCGGCCTGCGGACTGAAAGGTCCCAGGTTTGATTCCGGTCAAGATAAATACCACATGATCTCACTCATTTGTGGAATATAGAGAACAACATAGACTGATGAACAGGGTCAGATCCAAGGACAGAGAAACAGCGATCAGACTATCAATCCCCAGAAGAAAAGTAGGGGAAGGTGGGGGTAAGGGGGAGAGACCAACCAAAGTACTTGTATGCATGCATATAAGCCAAACCAATGGACATGGACAACAGGAGGATGAGAGCATGAGTGGGATGAGTTGGGGGGGAGGTTGGGGGTTAATGGGGAGATGAGGACACATTTGCAATACCTTAACCAATAAAGAAATTTAAAAAAAAAATGTTTGCCGAATCCGATTTGGCTTGGTGGATAGATCGTCGGCCTGTGGACTGAAGGGTCCCAGGTTGGATTCTGGCCAAGGGCATGTACCTTGGTTGAGGGCACATCCCCAGTGGAAGGTGTGCAGGAGGCAGCTGATCGATGTTTCTCTCTTATCGATGTTTCTAACTCTCTATCCCTCTCCCTTCCTCTCTGTAAAATCAATAAAATATAAAAATAAATAAATAAATAAATAAATAAAAATAAAGGAAAAGAAGTCAACATCCTGAAGAGTCAGCTGCAGTTCCATGTTCACTGAAGCTCTACTCACAAAGCCAGGCATGGTGAGACCTCTGCCTGTCGGCGGGTGAATGGAGAAAACGTGGTGTATATAACGGGATACGATTTTGCCATAAACAAGGACACCCTGCCGTTGGTGACAACACGGATGAACCTGGACGTTATGTTAAGTGAAGTAAACCAGACGAAAAAGACAAATACTGTCTGATCTTATTTACAAGTGCAATCAAAACTTTATAAAAAAAGGTCAAACTCAGAGAAACAGAGGAGAATGGTGGGGGAGGGGTTGGGAAATGAGCAGATGTTGGTCAAAGGTACACATTTTCATTGAGAAGATGAGTAAGTTCTGGGGACCGAATGTGCACACGGGGCTAGTTAACAATACTGTGGTGTACACCTGACATTAGCTAGAGGAGAGCTTGTGTTCTCAGCACAAAACAAACAGAAACCCCAGCGAAACAGGTTAAACTAATTTGAGGTGAGGCAAATGTGTTCCTTATTTATAACGTATACACACGCCACTTTCTTTTAAAAGCCAACGGCAATACTTCTGTAAAAGGATTTCAGGCAGCTTTTAAAAAGCTGAAAATTCTAATAAAAAAATCAATACACATCCAAGCCACACAACACTTGAAGGAATTTTCCATTTGAAACAGGCCTTCTCCCCTCTTCGGTCCCGCAGATCACTCAGCAAACACTGAGCGCTCCACAACGCACGCAAGGCGCTGCTCCACGTCACGCGGGACCCAGCGGGAGCAGGCTGAGCGCAGTTCCAGTGAGCAGGACAGTCCCGGTCACACCTGCTGTCCAACGTACTGGCAGTGTCACCTGGCACTATCAGCGTTCCCTGGTTTGGACAATAAACTAAATAGCCCTTCACTCACAATCCCCCAAACTGGAGACAGTCCTCCAACAGGTGCATGGGTAAACAGACTCAACAATAAAGAGGAATGAATAACATGGACGTCCCAAGGCATTAAGACAGTGGTCGGCAAACTGCGGCTCGCGAGCCGCAGTTTGCCGACCACCGCACTAAGAAAACGGAAATAAGTCAGTCTACACAGCCCAGTTACTGCCCAATTCCATTCCAACCCTGTTCTGGGAGAGGTAAGGCCAGAACACCAGGTGCCAAGAATGTTCTTGAAGCCGCAGAACAAAAGCGTTACTTCCCAGAGACGTCCTTGGAGACCCCGTTCACAGCCCCGCTGCTCTGTCCACATACCTGTCTGAGTAGCCCGTGGTTTTCAGAATCGTGTCGGCCTCTTTGGTGCTCTTCTTCTTCCAATAGAAATCTGAACTGTCATCCCAGCTGGAAAAAGAACTGCCCCGCAGCTCCATCGGCTCGTCGAAGAACCTGCTGGGAAAGGGAACAGCGCCGTGAGGCCTCGCAGTGATGTCGGGTTCAGGGGGACGGGCAGCCACGTGGCCTGACCCGTGAACAGGAGCAGGCACGAGGCGAGTCATTTCCAAGGACTTTGCTCAACTCGCCTGGCCCCATCTCCTGCTGCAAGAGGTGTGTTCCAGGGGCTGCGGCCTCAGGCAGGTGCTGAAACCTCTATTCATCTGGACGGTCAAGGTGCCACGTGAAGGACACCCAATCTGGACAGTCACCTGTACCCGCAGCTGACATCAGTGAAGAACAAACCATGGTGTCTTAAGAGCTGAGGGGATGTTTGTCGCTGCAGCATAAGCTAGCCTATCCGGACAGCACGTGGCTACAGGTCACATATTTCATTTGCGCTGGGTCTCGTTCTGCCAAGTTAGTCACAGCTGCTGCTGCCAGGCCTGGGGAACGGATGGCACCTGAGGAGCTCCTGCCGGCAACGCCCGCCCGTCAGCCCCAGGACAAGGCCGCAGTCCTCGCAGCATCTACCACTCCCTGTCAGGGACGCTCACCAGCCTCCCTCTGGACTCAGACAGAGCGAGGGATGGGCCGCGTGAGGCGGTGCCCTCCAGTCTGAGGGGCGTGACCGGGGTCTGTGAGGCCTCCTGGGTCCATTCACACTTTCCGTAGCTGAGCATCGCCGAGCAGGCACTGCCCAGAGACCAAGCTGGACAGCGCTCGGCTTCCCGTCCTGTGCGGCGAGAGTCTGACCAGAGCAGCAGGGTTTGTGGGAACAGCTCGGAGATCGAGAGGGGAGGCAGGTGTGCCAGAGCCTTAAGAAAAGGGGACTGTGCCCTAACTGGTGTGGCTCAGTGGATAGAGCGTCGGCCTGCAGACTCAAGGGTCCCGGGTTCAATTCCGGTCAAGGGCGTGTACCTTGGTTGCGGGCACATCCCCGGTAGGGAGTGTGCAGGAGGCAGCTGATTGATGTTTCTAACTCTCTATCCCTCTCCCTTCCTCTCTGTAAAAAATCAATAAAATATATTAAAAAAAAGAAAAAGGGACCGTGTTATCCCGGAATTCCTAACTGCTTTGGATGGAAAAGCCCAGCCAGCCACGCGCGCCCCAGGAGGCTGGAACTGAGGAGGGTCAGGAGAGAGGCGGCCTCCAGCATCGGTCTCGGGAAAGGAAGGTGGTGGGAGAGAATGTGGCATCAGGACGGAAGCTGGAGGAAACAGGTGAGCACTGGCTCCCAGGCCACAGGGAGCCACTCAGACAGACAGACAGACCGACCCCTGGGCTGTGGGAGGGGCCTGCAATCAGAGATGAACAGAAAACAAGTGGGCAGGGACCCCAATGAGCTAGGAGTGAGGGGTGGGGGAGCGAAGGACAAAGACACGCTTTCCTGACAAACCACGACAGAGGAGGGTAAACCTGCTGTTTGACGCAGAGGTGAGGGCTCCTGTGGACAACAGGGAGGGAGCAGGGCTTCCGGTGTGGGTCCCACCTCCTCCTCAAGACGGTCACTGAGCGCAGAAGGCGTCCGCTAGCCTCTCAGGCAGGGAGCGTGGAAGCTGAGCAGCCCTCCCAGAACTGCAGGGGGGCCTGCTGGGAGGAACGGCCCCTCTCCACGCAGAGACCAGAGACGGAGCGACCTGACGTCACGGGAGAAGGGTCCGCCTCAGGGTCTGTAGAGACCAGGGAAAGACTGAGCCCAGGTCCAAGAGGGATTTAATGCCCCTGGACGAGCTCTGTGAGGCGAGGAAGCGGGGCGAGGAGACATAGTCCCCGGAAGCCCAGGGGGATGTAAGTCTGAGTGGACTGAGGAGGGGGTGCTGCAGGCCCCGGAGGGTGCTGGGTGCCCGGGGCACTGGATAGGGTGGTTGGAATTTCCAGGCTCTTCACACTCTGAGGTTGTGAACTTATTGGATTTTGCTGATTCGATATCACTGTAAGGAAACACTCATTTACATAAACCGAAGGGCTGGGCCACAGGGGCATCAGATTTTAAGAAAATGACTGAATGATTCAAAACCAGGAGAGAGAAGCCACTCTGCTGGGATCCTACTGATTAGCAAGAGCCGCTATGCAGCACTCCACGGGCTGGCTGGGCGGGGCTCTCTTCCTACAAGCCCACACCCACTCTCTGAGCTCTCCGACATGCAGGGGCGCGCAGCAACTCACTGCGGGACAGAGCGACGTCTGGCCAGGCGCCAGCTGCCCGCTGGAGGATGGCAAGGGGACAGTGAAAGGCCATGCGCACTGGCCTTTCCTCAGTAACACGACCGCCTCCAAAGCTCATCTCCACATTGTTAGTGACTTTGTACTGTTTTTATTTCTAGGTCCTAGTGTTCAGTGCTTTTTAAAAATATATTTATTGATTGATTTCGGAGAGGAAGGGTGAGGGAGAGAGAGATAGAAACATCCATGATGAGAGAATCATTGATCGGCTGCCTCCTGCACGTCCCACACTGGGGATGGAGCCCGCAGCCCAGGCCTGTGCCCTGACTAGTTCACAGGTCAACACTCAACCACTGAGCCACGCCAGCGGGGCTCCATGCGTTTTACTTTAGTTTTGCCCTCCCACTCCGTCCTTCTCACCCTGAACCTCCCGTAGCCCCCGCTGCACGCACCCGAGCATCACGTCTGAGTGACAGCTGCTGACACTGTGACCCCTGCAGGCCACGCCGACACTGTGAGGCTGAGCAAACTGTTCTGGTCTCATCCCTTTGTACTCAACATGTACTTACACTGTCCGCGTCCTGGAAATAACGGAACTCAATAAAAACAGAGATGGTTGACCTTTTTAATAGAAACAGCCCTCTTCCATAATTCATAATCGTCAGGTTCTAATGGACTAATGAATAATTTGGAAGCAATGAGAGCTCTTCATGGAGCTAAGCTGCTGGCTTTCCGAAAGCCCGTGTGCAGGAACACAGCTGCCAAGGACGGCAGCACCCTGTCCACCCCCGGGGTGAGGACGAGGCCAGAGGAGGCGGCAGCTCCTCACGACCCACACGCACAAGGTCGGTCTGGCAGGGACCAGCAAGCCTGGGCCCTATAAACACCATCTGCTCCCAGGTTTCAAACCATAAATAATTGTGTCCTAGCAACGAGGGGAGGGCCTCCGGGCTGGCACTCCAGCCGAGCTTCGGGAGGCGCGGGCAGGCGGAGCTGTGCCTCAGGGCGATGCTCCACGGGCCTCCAGGGCCCCGCCCTTCCCCACAGGCTCCAAGCAGCAGTGCTGCCGGAACCGAGACAATCCCCCCCTTTCCTGTGCCTCCGCTGCAGGAGCTGCTCCCGGGCAGGGAGGCCGTGGAGAAGCCGAGAGGCAGTGCAGAGCCGCATCCCCGGGCCTCAGAGCCGCCGCCCGCCCTCACGAACCACCAGCTGAATGATCTGACCCGCACGCGGCTTCCAGAGCAAGTTAGATGTTTCCCTTCCCTTGTGGGAAAGGATTTGCGTTCTTTTAAGAGGCATGACTGGGTGTTCCCTCTAAGTAAGACCAGCCCTGGTGCGACGGCCAGGTTACTCACACAGGCAAACAGGAAGCCGCCGGTCGCTGAGGTCCTGACCGGGGACACCACTGACCCAGGCATTTCTTTCTTTTTTTGATAAAATATCTGGACTTGAAAGAATTCGAAGCGATGGATAGTGCTCTCTAGGAGCTTGGACAGGGGCAGAATGAAATAGAACAAGTGCTACATATGTGAGCATGCTCCAAGCCTGCATGCCTGCTCCCCAACTCTACTGCCCCCCGCCCCCCCATGGCCGTGGCAGGAACTGCCCGTGAGCACCACCGCTAACGACAGGCCCACATTCCATTTCCCCGAACTGCTCACTTGCAGGCGGCCCTCAGTGAGGTTTATTTAAGTGTCTGACAACAGTGCGCAAACATGCAGACTGAGTCACATGCTTCTTGAATTGAATTTCTATGCAATAACAGCTGGTAAATAACATCAGTAACAGACACGCACCATTCCAAACGCTCTGTTTGTATGAATGCACTTGACCCTCACACTGCCTGTGAGGCAGACACGCCCGCTCCCTAACGCACAGAGAGGCCAAGGTCACCTGTACTAAGTGGCAGAGGCAGGATTCAAATTCAGCCGCCTGGTTCCTGGGCCTACACTCTTACCCCCTCGCTGCACAGCTGGTGCCCCCTCCAGTAACACCCCTAGTTTACTGGGTGCCTTTTTAGCAGGACTGTCCCTGTGCTGGTCAGGTTGTTGGAGGAACCTCACAAGTGAGATGCTTCAAGTTCACACCTGCTCCCCCCCTTTCCCCCTCCCCCTCCCCCTTCCCCTGCCCCTGAGGCCACGGAACCTGAACCAGGGCCTTCTCCAGGGCCAGCTTCACACCAGTTGGGCAACTTGTCTGATCAGATGGTGGCACTTAGGGGCAGGGAGTGGCTTGACCCTGGGAGCCTTCGGAGCACAGCAGTAATTTATTAATAAACACGCACACACAGAGAATGTGTGTATGCTCTGCCCCGCAGACCGGGGACCTGAGCTGGTATCTGAAACAAGAGGCTCAGCTGTGAAATGTTCCGACTCTGGGAATGAGACTATAACTCAGTACGTTCCTTCAGGAGTTTGCACATTTCTCCACTCTCCCATTTTCCTACCTTATTATCAAACATCTTTTTAAAAATATTTTTTCATTAATTTCAGAGAAGAGGGGAGAGGGAGAGAGAGATAGAAACATCAATGATGAGAGACAATCATTGATTGGCTGCCTCCTTCAATACCCCTACTGGGGAGCGAGCCCCCAACCCGGGCATGTGCCCTGACCAGGAATCAAACCGTGACCTCCTGGTTCATAGGTCGACACTGAGCCATATGGGCTGGGCCAAACATTTTAATATTAGCAAACACTGCCTTCTTACAAATGTTTCCCCAACTTTTTTCAAAGGACCCCTTGACTCCAGCCAAAGCGTTTAAAAACAGAGAAGTAGCCCAGGTGGGTGTGGCTCAGTGATTGAGGTCACCGGTTCCACTCCCGGTCAAGGCACATGCCTGGGTTGTGAGCTGGGTCCCTAGTAGGGCCATGCAGAAGGCAGCCGATCCATGATTCTCTCTCATCATTGATGTCTCTATTTCTCTCTCCCTCTCCCTTCCTCTCTGAAGTCAATAAAAATATATTCAAAACAAAACAAAACAAAAAGCAGGGAAGTAAACGAATAAATTCATGCTAATCACTGCTTTTCAAAACAACACTTTAAGGATGATTTTTACACACTACCTTGAGCTGGAAGTAAAATATGAATCATCGTTGTCGTCGCTGTACTTTTTCCTTGGCTTTGCCATGACTGGTGTTTCCTGTTCAATGGTCTGCATATCTGAAGTTGCTGAATGTGAAATACCACTTGAGAAAAGAGAATAAAATGGAAAAAACCAACACTAGTTAGTTCATAAAGACACTATATTCACCAACAAATGTTTTCGTCTATACTCTCAACAAAAATAAATTGATTGGTGACATGAACGATAAAAACTACTTCTTGGTATGAGCACTGAAAACTACTGGACATAGTGAGGACTATAACCAGTCACACAAGTGCAGTGACATCACCGGCTCTGCCTGGGGCATCCGCTGAGGGGCAAGTCAGACCTACTTCCTATTTTCTAAGAATCAGATTTGGAAGTTTTCATGCCATAATCAGCACTAGCATAAAGCACACCATCGCAGACAGGAAGGGAGATGAGACATACTACTGAGGGTGAACGGAACAGGCAGCCCTCAGGATGAGCGAATGGGCTCACCTACCTCCTGCAGTTTCCAAACCCCATGCCGAGCCTCTCCGACTCCGCCTTCGTTTTCCCACTCACGGTCTTCTTCTCATCGCTCTTCATCTGAATCTCAAGATCCTTATAGGCCAATCGTAAGGACGAGACACTGCCAAAAACCAATGCGCCTTAATTCAGCGTTCATTCCGGGTTAAGATAAAACACTGAGCAAAATCAAACATGCCACGTATCCTTCTAGCTTTGTGCTTCTCCATGATTAGCAATTCTGACGGCAAGCTGGCATTTGTTAAAGTAAACGCTCAAGAAAGTGTAAATGAGTTGACAGCCACGTTTTGGTTGCTGCTGAGCCTACATTACGGCCCTGGTTCATATTTCCTATTACCATGTAGTAATAATTTATATTACCTATTATGCATAACGACGTCCACCAAAATTACTTCCAGATAGAATAGTCAAAAGCAGAATCTCCTACTTGGACTGATATTTAGTATGCTTCCACATTCCACATCAAAAGTAAGAGATTAATATCATTGGTTTCCTTTGGTTTAAGGTAAAAACATATATAACTTGGCTTTACAAATAGATAAATAAAGGGTTACTAACTGCAAAAGATGCTTCAATTTACAAAAACGTTTCCTGTCCTCTGTGTCGTCAGGCTTCTGAAAGCATTTCAAACGGAATAGTCCTTCCTCGGTCGCAGACTTCTCTGCGCTGCCGGTCAGTCAGACCCGAGCACCTGCTTCCCAGAGACCCGGTACGAACAGTGCACCACGGGGGCAAAAGGAGGGACACAGAGCACCGTCCTCACTCTGATTTCTAAAGACGCTTAGTTTTTCATAAAGAAAACCACGCCCACGTTAGCAGTACCAAGACTGTGTACACTAGGAAGAGAGCAACCAGGCCCAGGCCCTGAAAAGCGATGCATCTACCATCTCGGGTCTCGGGCCTCTGCTCTCAGCAGCTCACAAAGTTGTGTACACGGTCATGGACTGCTCCTGAGCAAGGTGCCGCATGCACTCCACACTGGGGACATGCATTTCTGTGCAGACACAGGGGCTGGTGGAGTTCTCGCTCAGGAAACGTCATCTTGCTTCTACTGATTCCTTCCCTACGGAGTCAAGCAGGGCTCTCTGTTTCGCGTTGAGCTGGGCAGATTGCGCTCCTCACTATTTCTTGGTCTGCAGAGCAGTTGGTGGCAATAGACCCGTTGGATTGCTCAGAAAAACATCCTCTTCCCAGCGCATTGGGAAGGGAACCACGGATCTGTGTGAAATCATGAATGATGGAACTGGCACAGCTTCTGCCGGGGAAGGTGAACTGATGGGATGAAAGTCTAGTTCTCCCCTGAGGACCCGCCATGGGGGGTCACCGCTAACAGCGAGCACCTGCACACGGCTCCCGGGGCCATGCTGTGCTCCGCGAGCACTGCTGTGACAAGTCAGGCTCGTGCTGCTCAGAGCTGCTGGAGCCCTTCCAGTGCCAGCTCCAGGCAGGGCCTGCAAGACACTCAGATGGGGGACGGGGGCCTCTGCCACTTCTCTGCCTGCTCACTGCGCACACACACCTCAGGGCGGGCGAGAGGCGGCCAGCAGGCGAGGATGAGGTGCTGCACGGACAGTTTAGTCGCAGTCTGGGGTACAAGAAACAACTGTGCTCCTGGCAGTTTACTGAACTGAACTTTATTTACTTTAATAAAGTGAACAACTTCATTAACTGCAGAATAGCCGCCGCATGTCTTAGGGATAACACAGCCGGCACAGGCCGGTCTGAAACCGAGCAGCGATGGGCAGGGCGGACGGTGAGGCTGTTCTGAACAGGCCAGGGAAGCTGTCAAAACGACGGGTTCCCAAATCAAATTCATAAACACCCCACCCCCGCGTCTTTGCGTTTGTGGTCTGTGACACGGTCCTGGTGAGAGACGCAGAGGCTGGTGCTGCTCCCATATGACCGACCAGCTCCAGCCCCTGGCCTGCAGGAAGGAGGTGCTGTCCACCCGGGCCGGGCCCTCCTGGCAGGGGCGGCCCACGCTCAGGGAGAGCCCCCTGGAGCCCTGGGCAGAGCCCACTCCCAAACGCCAAGAGAAGCCCCCCTCCCCAGGGTCTGAAACCAGCTCATTCAGAGATTACAGTGAAGCTGAGCAACTACATTTTACATGAATCTTTTCAAACCACATTTAACCGTAATACAGTTTAGTGCTGCCCCCTGTGTTCTAGGAGTTAAATGACAATTTCAAGTTATCTGGGTTCACCATACACGTTCCAGTTAGCAAACGGTTAGGATGAACAGTAAGAAATCAGGATGATGAGCATTTACTATGTCCCAGGCACGGTTTAACGTATTTTAATGAGCAGTAACTAAGCTGATCCTCAAAATAACCTCATAAAATAATTGTTATTGTCTTCATCACGCTGTCTGTAATCGCTCAAGCTACACCTGGTAAAATACATGTGAAAGTAACCGAGAAGCAGGACGAAGCTGCCTTCCTTCTGCGTAGCGTCCCCCTCGTGACCTGCCAGTCACCCACGTCCCTGCCCAGATGCCGTGTTTCTCTTCTGTTTCCAGCACAAAGGAAACAGGAGCCTCAGTGTTTATTCACACGGTCTCCTGGCTGGCCGCCTGGTGTCAGTTTCCTCCCCATTCTGCCTAACGCGGACCTCACCGCCACACTCACTGCGCCAAGTGCCGCCTGCAGCGCGGCCCTCCTCGCAGACATCCATCTACCCCGACCTCACCGAGCGCCACCCACCATCCCACCCCTCCCGTAGCGGGGCCCTCCTCGCAGACATCCATCTACCCCGACTTCACCAAGCTCCACCCACCATCCCACCCCTCCCGTCCAGCCGTCCCCACCGCACACGCATCTCAATTCCCTTCATCTCCTCAGACTCCTTCCTCCCCTCCCATCCGTGCCGAGTGTGACCCAGACCGATCCGGCTCAGGCCCCTGGAGACCACATACCCACCGCTTCCCATCATCTGTCAGACTCAGCCGCCAGGTTCAGGGGAGCTTCACCTGATAAACACGCTCTCACCGCGGAGCTACAATTCACACACCATAACACACACCCTTCACAGTACACCATCCACAGCGTGCCACCATCACCACAAATCCCAGACCATGTCCGTCACTTGCAAAACCAACCCACACCCCTGAGCCATCAGCCCCCCTCTCTCCCACCTGGCAAGCACGGGGCTGCTCCCTCTGGGCGTTTGCCGGGACATTCCTATCCGTGGAGCACAGCCGTGGTCTTTGCGACGGGCTTCTCGGCACCAAGGCTGCAGGTTTACCCAGGCCGCAGCAGCAGTGCCAGCGCTTCCCTCCTTTCTAGGGTGAACCTGCCCGGGTACGGACACACCACTGTGTCCATCCGTCCCTCAGCTGATGGACGTCTGGGCTGTTTCTCCCTTTGGCGACCGGGAGTCATGCTGCTCTGACACGTATGTACAAGTTTCTTGTGGAGGCCTATTTTTTACCTTCTCGTAGGAGTGGAACTGCTGGTCATACTATAACTTCATGCTTAACTTTTTACATGACCATCAGCAACGTGTAAGGGACCTCATTTCTCTACATTCTCGCCAGCACCTGCTCTGTCTTCTCACTGCACCCGCCTAGCGAGTGAAGTGCCTCCTGTGCGTTTCCCTCGTGACGAATGGTGCCGAGCATCTTCCCGGGTGACCACCCGACACGCGTGGGTCTCTCCCTGCCTGCCCTCACTGCTCTCCCTCGCCACGGCCCTCCTCCCTTCCAGGCTACACTTCGCTGCGACACTCGTTTTCATGAAACGCAGTTTTGCGTTTCGCTCCTCACACACGAAGACAGACGGCATGAGCAGAGCAACCTGGGCGCTTACGAAGGTTCCAGCCACTAGCGCCTGTTACTGTATCGGACTTCAACTCACATCGACTCTTCCTTCGGCGCCGTCCTGGCCAGGTCTTCCTGTTCCTTCAGTTTATCTACAGCTTGGGCTTGCTTCTCCATTTCAGTGAAGCAGGTGCTCGTCAGTTTCTGGGCTCCCAAACTTCCTTTTTTGGCCCCAAGCTGGAAGACACACAAGATGACATTCCACCAACCTGCTGACAAGGTCTGTGCCAACAGCTGACACTTACGGAGGCACCGTGACAGCACTGGCCACCGTCCTCCTCCTTGGTCCTCACAACTCGAGGAAGTGGGCACCCTCCTCCCCACGTGACAGACAGGGGCTGACGCTCACGCAGGCTGAGCGACATGAGCAGGATCGCAGCCAGGGGGTGCGGTGTCTGCAAGCTCCGCAGGTGACACCCTCCAGGCCCACAAAACGCTACAAACGCCACCAGGACGGGACGCCCGGGAGCCCCTGCTGGTGTGTGTGTAAGAATTTCGTCACCGACAGAAGGAGTGTTAAACACCCATTCCAGCGAATCTTCACTCGGCGCCAGTGCCCTCACTGAGCAAAACATGGCGTGTTAGCCAGGCCGCGCTCGTTACACACAATACGGCTCAGAGTGAATAAAGGCAGCGGCAGGGCGGCCTTCTGGAGGGCGGGGCTATTTCAGAACCGAACCACCCGCCATCTCACGCGTCATACTCACGCCTCGCTTAGCTTGACTTGGCTTCTTTTTCATGATCGAGGACACCTCTGTCAAAAACACAAAGCCCAGTCAGGCCAACAGGAACGCACACCTTCCTGTTTCGTCGTGCTCTCTAAAACACTCCACGGTGCTGCACACCATTATTTAGGGGACGGTAACATTTCCCACGTTAGTGTGTCATCCAGAAGACAAGCACAGGGTGCGGCAAAGTAGGTTTACAGTTGTTCGTAAAGAAAATACAATAATTAACAATTAATACTTATTATTCGCGTACTCACGACTGTGAACCTGCTTTCACCCACCGTTTGAGTGCATCGGAGTGGAGTCCTCGGTATCTGCACGTGGCGCCCAAACCCAGAAACGTGTTTCCCGGGCACCACGCTGAAGGGAAAGGCAGCGCCTGTGCCCAGGGCTGGCTCGGAGCTCGCCTCAGGGCGTCCGAACACGCTCTCCCGGCAGCTCTCCTCTTCAGAAGCTTGCAAAATCCTTTCCCAGTATGAAGCTGGCAGCATCGTGTGCACAGCTCAAGCAGGTCGGCTATGCCCTCCCACCTCCACTTACAGATTTCATCATGTTACTCAGTAAGGAACGCACAGCTCCGTCATTTTAGCAGCAGGGCTTTCTAAGCTGCACACAAATATATAATGCTTGTGTAGAAAAGTTCCTACGACTGTTTTTGGGAAATCTTTAATCATAAGTTATATATTCTGTTTTTAGAACCATGTGTCAGAGGCCCACGAAGGAATACAATTTTAATTGTTCTCTCACAAAGCTGAGAATGCACTTCAACGGGAAAGGACGGCATAAAACCACAAGCAACCACAGGTTAAAGTGCTCAGCCTCACGCGAGAACAGCATCGTTCCAAGTGGAAAAGAGACCCACACACTTTCCTCCCACCAGTTCCTTTAGGCTCGTGCTCCCAACCTCCCACAAGCCTGCTCACACACGATGACAGATCGGGAGCGTTTCTAACGGTTCAGTTACTTTTCACTAAAGCAGCTGCTCTCCAGGGACTGCAGTGCGATGTGCACCAACTCAGGTTCTACCTGCCTGCTACTGAGCAAGTAAAGGTAAGGTTCACCTACTGCAAACGCAGGAAGAGGAGACGATGCTGACAGCCCCTGGGTAAAAGGAGGGGTGCGGCCGCTCGGACCTCTACCGATGCCGGGACAGCAACCAGCCCAGCACACTCGCCAGGCAAGAGCCCCACCAGCCACCTAGGCCAGGCCCACAGCTGCGGCTGCCGGTCAGCCTGGAGCCGGCTAACACAGACCGGCATGTTGGCTTAATAAAATCTTGTTAAGAAACTATGGGTTAATAGTCACGGTGCCATAGACTCCATACCTTCTAGCAGAAGGCAAAGACAGGATTCATTTCTTTCTTAATGAATGTCATTCTCTAAATCAGAACATTACCTAGAGCTGCCTTGGTTGGTACATTAAGACCTTCCACACTTGGTCCTTGCTCCGGTACACCTGCAAGTTAAAAATACTGATATTAATGCAGAAAATATACTCACCAAACTTGCTTTTGAATATGTAATATATCTAACTTACTGAGTACTACATCAATTTTGTCAATGATCTGCTTTCTTTTTAGCTCCATATTCCATTATAAGAATTTTTATTAAGCCCTGGCTGGTGTTGCTCAATGGTTGGAGCCTACGAACCAAAGGGTCTCAGGTTTGATTCCCGGTCAAGGGCATGTCCCTCAGTCAGGGCGAGTGCAGGAGGCACCCAGTTGATGTGTCTCTCACATTGATGTTTCTTTCTCTCTCTCTCTCTCTCTCTCTCTCTCTCCCCCCCTCTCTCCCTCCCTCCCTTCTTTCCTCCCTTCTACTCTCTCTGAAAAGCATTGCAAAAAATATTCCCGGGTGAGGATTAAAAAAGTAAAAATAATTTTGATTTAAAAAGTGCATTAAAATAGAAGTGTGTTTTCTGTCAAGTTGCTTTATAGAATAAGATGGTAGTGGTCTCCCTAATGTCATTCAGAATTCTACCTTATGACCTGGTGTTTTAAAGTAAACTGTTCAAGATACCTAGTACATATGTGGACTATACATCCAACATATGTTAATATTTGGGAATTCTAACACCAATCATATCAATGATAGAAACCTAATTTTTCAGTTGCCAAGAAATCTGCCATTTTCTAAATGACCTAAAAAATGATCCTGATTAGGAACACCTATTATGTCTTTAAAAACTTTTTATTTTAATTTTATTACTTTAAAAATGAGTAAATAAAATGTAGTATATCCACGCAATGGAATGTTATTTGGCCATAAAAAAAGGAGTATTAGCACATAGAAATACTACCACATGGATGCTCCTTTAAAATACTGTCCTAAGCACAAGAATCCAGTCACAAAAGACAACATATTATCTGAGTCTACTTGTATGAAATGTCCAGAACAGACAAATCCTTAGAGGCAGAGAGCAGCCTGGTGGTTGCCAGGGGCTGAAGGAGGGGCAGGAGAGAAGGGGGAGGGGCTGTCAATGGTACGGATTTCTTCTGCAGGTGATGGGAATGTTCTGGAATGAGTGGCAATGGTGGCACAATGGCACAACCTTGTGAATATACTAACCACCACTGAACTGCAACTGTTTTATCTTTATAAATATTTAAAGGTAAACTCTAGGTAAGGCTTTTAAACAGGCAAAGCAGGATGAGTAAGAACAGTGCTACTTTGTAGGAAAAGAGCTGATGGCCGTGCATGGGTCGGCTGGAACTGCTCTGGGCGGAACTGCATGGGCCTACGGCGGCTGGAGCTGCTCTGGGCGGAACCGCATGGGCCCACGGCGGCCGGAGCTGCTCAGGCAGCGGAGAGCAGCGGTGAGAGCGCAGCAGCGGAGCATTCCAGGCCGCCTGTCCTAGTTGTTAACTTCTCTCGTTCTCTCCTTTTCATTGCGCAGCCCTTCAGTTTACTCAAGACCGCACCGGGTCCCGGGGCTGACACATGCAGTTCCGGGTTGGGCCTCGGACAGCGAGCCTCCCTCACACCAGCTGCTTAAGGAAAGTCCTGGGCGGAGAAGAGGCAGGAAAGAGCCGCTGCAGATGCACTAGGAGCGGGGATTCTCAACAAGAAAACCCTTTAGGAGAGACTCCTCGGGGAACAACGTAAATGAAATACGTCCAAGGATGAAATCTCGTTCTGCTTTTAGTTACCTGGGTCACCGTCAGTGAAAGGAACGGAGACCCCAGGACCTGAGCGTGCGGGGGTCTCCCTGGCGGGGCCTTCGATCTCAGAGGCCTTCTGTGGGGTGAGTGGTAACGGCAGCACGTTCACACGACCGTCCGAGTTTCAGAAGGTACAACCCCACCTTTCCTGTTAGTCAGGCGCGTGTCGGAATTAGTTCTTCTCTTCTCTCTTGTGGATAATGACAAAGCAATCCCTGGCCCAGGGAGATTTCTTCTCTTCAAAAAGCATTTCTCCCCGGAGGCGTTCACAGCCAGTGGGAGGAACACACAATGGACATGGAAGCTAAGGGACGCGTTCGTTCCCAGAACTGCGGCCTGCTGTGCATGAGGAGACAGCATACGTAGCCCTGGTTGTGGCTGGAGTGCTGGGGGGAGGGGGGCCTTCTCCGAGGAGAGGACATGGAGCTGAGGCTCCAATAAGGAGGTGGCCGCCTGATGACCAGGTCAGAGTCCCAAACAAACGCAAACACAGGACAGGCGTGCAGGCCAGCGTGGCAGCAGCGCAGTGCAAGGCGAAGAACCCAGAAAGCTAATGCCACTCGGGGATGTGATGACTTCTTTGCAGGCACCCAGGGCCCTGTGCGTGCGCGCGCACACACACACACGTAATCACAGGCTGCAAATCATACAACACCAGTCATGTCAGAGTTCTTTGCATATGAAGGAGCCACGCTTTTGGCCCACATATGAATTGCAAATGTTTATCATATCTTTGAAGCACTTCTTCAGACCCCAGCAGTCAGACTCACTAATCTCTTCCTTTCACGAGGCCTGGATGTGCCCAGGGCTTCCCACTCCAGGGTGGCAGGAAAGCCTCACCCCTGTTCCTTCTAGCACCCTCATATTTTCATTTTTTAAATATATATTTTTTTACTGATTTCAGAGAGGAAGGGAGAGGGAGAGAGAGGTACAATCAATGATGATAGAGAATCATGGGTTGGCTGCCTCCACCCCAAATTGGGGATGGAACCTGCAACCTGGGCATGTGCCTGACTGGAAATTGAACCCTGACCTCCTGGCTCATAGGTCGACACTCAACCACTGAGCCATGCCGGCCGGGCCTCATATTTTCATTTTTAAATCTTTGATCCATTTGAATTTAGATTTGTATAAAGAGTAAAAAAGGAATTCTGCTTTATTATTTTTTTCCAAAATGTTAGACACTTGTCCCACATTGATGTTTCTCTCTCTCTTCCTCTCTCTGAAATCAATTAAAAAACATATTTAAAAAAAGAATCAACCAATGAATACATAAATAAGTAGAACAACAGATGAATGTTTTTCTCTCTCTAAAAATCAATAAATAAATTTTTAAAAACAACCTTCATTATTTGCTGGGGGGACTTCCACGTTCCTGGGTGTTAAAGACGGTTCTGGGTGTGCGGAGGCCCATCCGGTGCCGCTCACCTGAAGCAAAGTGAGAAAAGTCATAAAAAACAAAGCAAAGCAGGGGAAACTGAGTCATTTACAGTCACCGCTTCGTACCTGGGTTTGTGGGGAGGAAGGATAATATTTAAACGTGTGTAATATTAAGTCTCTGTTTCAATGCTCAAATTCTGTATTCTTCCTTTTAAAAACTATTTTTATAGATTTCAGAGAGGAGGACAGAGGGAGAGAAAGAGAGAAACATCAGTGATGAGAGGGAATCATTGACTGGCTGCCTCCTGCACGCCCCGCAATGGGGATTGAGCACGAGCGTGTGCCCTGACTGGGAAATGCTCAACCACTGAGCCACTTTCCTCCTTTTTAAAAAATCTAAACTATGCAATAATTTCAGGTTTGCAGAGAAGTTGCTAAGACAGAGTTTTTTATTTTTTTTATTTATTTTTTTTAATATATTTTATTGATTTTTTACAGAGAGGAAGGGAGAGGGATAGAGAGCTAGAAACATCGATGAGAGAGAAACATCGATCAGCTGCCTCCTGCACATCTCCCACTGGGGATGTGCTCGCAACCCAGGTACATGTCCTTGACCGGAATCGAACCCGGGACCTTTCAGTCCGCAGGCCGACGCTCTATCCACTGAGCCAAACCGGTTTTGGCAGCTCCAACAGCTAGTTTAGAGTTTTTACTTTTCTCCCAGCTTCCTTTAATGTTAAAATGCCCATGGTGCATCTGTCAAAACTAAGAGTTAATGGCACATCCCTAGCTAAATTCTGGACTTGACTTGGATTTCACCAGTTTTCCTGCAGTGCTTCTTTCTGCCCCAGGATCCGTCCAGGACCCCACTCTGCATGTGTCTCTCCTCCGTCTCCCTGCTCTGTCAGAGTTCCTCAGTCTCTCCCTGCTCTCATGACCTTGAACCTTTGAAGGGTACTGGTCACCTATTGTGAGAATGTGTCTCCATTTGGGTTTATCTGATGTTCCTCATGATTAGATTGGAGTTGGGGAAGAAAGCCAGGGAGGTGCGGTGCCTCTGTCACTACCTCACAACATGACTGAACCGGTGATGCCAACCCTGAGCGCTTGGTCAGGCGGTGCCTGCCAGTCTTTTCTCGGTAACCTCTGTGTTTCCCTTCCATCGTCTAGTCTTGGGGAGCTGGTCACTGAGTCCGGCCCACACTCAAGGGGAGGAGGATAAAGTTCTATCTCCTGAGAGGGATTACCTATTATACATGATTTGGAATTTTCCTATAAGGAAGATTGTCCCTTGTCCCATTTATTTATTCAATCATCCATTTATATCAGTGTAATTATCCAAAAAGAGGAGAACAGGACATGGATACTGGCTTTATTCTTTGGGTTATAATTTGGTATGTGAATTACTTATTTTGTTCAAATTGTCCCAGCTCTGACCACTGGGAGCTCTTTCAGGTGGTTCCCAAGTCCTTCAGACCCTGCCCCTCATTTCGGGCGCCCTCCCCCAGCACCTCCTTACTCTCTATCCCTACAGGGTGCCCCAGGCTCAGCTGCCTCAGCAGCACCAGTCCTCCACTCTGCGTTCTCCAAGGCAGCCCTGGCTCCTTTCAGTGGAGAAGGATATTTAGAAACCAAGGCCTGGGTGCTGGTGTGCTTGCTGCACTGAAGCCTCACTGTCCCGTCCCTCTCCGTGGACAGAGCCTGGCAATCCATGTGTGTGTCTACGAACCCACTAGTACACACATCTAGAATCAGTTCTCCACTGTGTATGCACGCGTGCGTATGTAGAGAGTAAAATAAACATGAATTCCTACTAATGTCTCCAACTCTAACCCACACCAAACTAGTCATTTCTCTGCATTTTACCCATCATTTCCATTCCAAACATTTCTCAGCTACTAATTATGGATATTCTGTATCTAGTTCTAAATTAAATAATAGCAAAGCTAACAACAGAACACATCCTTTTTAAAATTGTTTTCTGTTCTTTTTTTATAGTTATTTCTGGCAACTATTGATTGCATTAATGATGACATGTATATGCAAATTATAATAGCAAAAAAATCAAAGTCTAGCAATTTATAAAACTTTGCACATTTTTTATTTGAAAATTAAATAAAGAATGAATTGAGCCCTGGCTGGTTTGGCTCAGTGGATAGAGTGTTGGCCTGCGGACTGAAAGGTCTTGGGTTCGATTCCGGTCAAGGGCACATGCCCAGGTTGCAGGCTCTATCCCCAATAGGAAGCATGCAGGAGGCAGCCAATCAGTGATTCTCGTCATTGATGTTTCTCTCTCTCCCTCTCCCTTCCTCTCTGAAATCAATAAACACATATATTAAAAAAAAACAGAAACTATCTTCATTCGCCCGCAACCAAGGCACATGCCCCTGACCGGAATCGAACCTGGGACCTTCCAATCCGCAGGCCGACGCTCTATCCACTGAGCCAAACCGGTTTCGGCCTATCTTCATCTTTGTCAGCCCTGGAGCTCTGAAATGAACTGTAGCAGAACACCAGCCATCACACTCAGCTTCGCTGGCAGCTGGTAAAAGACATGCGACTACACCAGCCAATAGGATCTGGGCAGAGTGATGGCACTGCCACCAGACTGTGTCTGTAAGAGGACGGGGCACTGGTTTCCTGGGCGTCTGTCCTCTTCCCATTGCTGGGAAAGGCCATGAACCCTGAGGTGAAAGCCACCCATGAGAATAACAAAACGCATCCCTCTGTCACCCTGGACAGCTCCTGGTTAAGCGACTGTATTTCAGGGTGGTTTGCCACCGCAGCTTGGCCTGCCCCTAACTGAAATGTTCTAAATAAACACCCGTCCGAAAGTCAGAGTGAGCACACGGCAAAATTCTGTAAGCACCACACTTACCTCAGGAAAAGTGTGAGAGGCAAAGAAGTCGTCCTCCTTCGGCACAGGGGACAAAGGCGGCGTCACGCAGCCATCGAGCCACAGCTGGAACAACACGAGGCACTCGTTAGCACTTCCCTGGCTTTGCGGGTTCTGCTTAATACTCTTCACTCCCTTCCTAGAGACCTGTTTGCCCAAGATTGGTATTTCCATTATTATAAAACTAGAGACCCAGTGCACAAATTCGTGCATGGTGGGGTCCCTCGGCCTGGCTGGTGATTGGGTCGATCAGGGCCATCTGGCCCAGTCCCAATCAGGCAGATTGGCCAGTCAGCAGGAGGGACTGTGGGAGGTTAGCTGTGCGAGCACACTGACCACCAGGGGTCAGCTCCTGCATTGAGCATCTGCCCCCTAGTGGTCAGTGCATGGCTGTTCGGTGGACCGGTCACTTAGGCTTTTATATATATATATATCAGCAACAGGCCTATGTGGGGCCCCTGAGCACATTTCAGTCATGTATCGTAGTAAAATACAGAAATGTTTAAAAATGCTTAAAGAATGTGAGAAAAGTTATAAATGTTTGTTAACTTCCCTTAAAACTTAAAGTCTGATATTAAAGATACATTCCCCACTGCCCTGAAGCGTGTGTACCCAGAGATAAGGATTTGAACTGACGCAGAGTGACTTGTGTCAAGATAAACACTTGCCTGAGTGGCGTACTCTCCTTGGCCCCCTCGCCGTGTTTAAGATGAATATATGTGCATTGATGCAAATCATCGATAGCCACCTGAGCTGTTACAGCACAAACAAGCTTTAAATATGGACCCCTGCCAGCCAATGATGCTCATCTTGTCAAGACATTACAAAGGCCTGTCCCTCTGTCCGTCTGACAAGCGACGCCGCTCCACATTCCTCTTCCTGCCAGATGACAGAACGGCCAGTAATCCCCAAGTGAGAAGCCACCGAGCTCTTGGGAGAAGAACGCCGCCCCCCTGCACCCGGACCAGCCCAGCCCAGCTGCGGGACCACAGAGGACAACACCACGGGGGTCCTTCACTAAGTCTGTACCCAAAGCCGCTCAGGAATTTGTGTAATAAAAAGCTGTATGATTTGCAACTGCAAATGTTTCAGGTGGTATAATCCCTCCAGCAGTTAATTGAATTAATTTGCATACGCTGAAAATTTAAATGAAAGCCTCTGGTCTTTGTTGGTCCTAAAGTCTGCCCTCTGGTCCTGCTGATGCAGAGCAGTCTCTCCATCAGCAACTACTTGAATGTCCCAGCACCTGCAGGTTGAAGTTCATCTCAAGGGAAGGCTCAGATAAACACTCCAGATCCTTTCCGGGATCTACTTGGGACATGTATCAACCCAGTAACTTGTTCCCAGACCCTGAGGTGTCACAGCCACGTCTGAAAAGATCAGGACCTCAGACCTACGGCAGGCCCCACAGGACAGCCCAGCCGCCTGTGGGTCCCTGACTTGCAAATCCACACACTGGCCACGATCTGCTGCTGGTCGGCCCCACGTCAGCCCTCGCCTCCCGGCCCTTCACAGACATGCGCAGAGCAGCCAGGCCCGAGTCGCCAGCTGCGTGAACATCCGCACGCTGCCCTTTCCCAGCTCACACTGCAAACGAGTGTCCTTTCGCGGGTTTAGGACCACGTTTCCACATTTCTGTGCTTTTGTTGGTGACTTGATGGTTTAAAATGGCCCTGCGCCGGGTGATGTGCGACCCAGTGCCCCTGAGCACAGGAGGCTGTGAAGTGCCGCTGGAGGAAAGTTTTCTCCGGGCACTGATCAATGTCGCCAACAGCACACGGTAAAGAGGGCGCCTCTAAAGGAAACACGGAAAATAAGGTTCCGTATCGGCCGGGGATGAAGCGTGGAGGAAGCTGGCCGTGGACTTGCCTGGGCGGCACCCGCAGCGCTAATGCGGGGTTCGCACAACAGAGAACCCGCGGGGCAGGCTTTACTGTTTGGGGTAAAAGCCACCTTTCCTTCTGAAACTGGTTGCACTTACGTCAGTGCCGTGCTTGCGTCATGCCGCACTTAACGGCAGCACCATGCTTGCCTCAGTGCCACACTCACGCCAGTGCCGCACTTACGGCAGCACCATGCTTGCGTCATGCCGCACTTACGTCAGTGCCGTGCTTCCGCGCGGCCTGGGAAGCCAGCGACTTGATCTTGTCCCTGTAGAGCTGGGCCGCGCGGCTGTTGTACTTGGCCTTGGTGTCGCCGGTGGCGCACCCGTGCTGGTCGAAGAAGGACGACTGCAGAGGAGACAGCGGGTTACTAGCAATCCTGCAGAAACGCTACTGCATATTATGAAGGATTGTTGAAAATACTATGAAAACCAAAACTATGTAAACCATGGAGAATGTTTAAATTCTCTTATCTTGTAAAAAGGAATACATTCCACAGATGTAACATTACTGTTTTGGTAAAACTGGACATGAGATGACTTGCAAAATGAAATAACTGGCCCTTCGTTTCTTCATTCAATCCTCCCTCACTCTGAATCTTGGGGGGGGGGGGAGCGCTATCCACTCAGGACCACTTTTAATTCATGAGCAATCCATTTCAGTTCGGATTCCACTAAATCGGAAATTTTACAAAATTGGTGAGGAGCAACGCTAACCTTCCCCTTGTTCAGCACTATTTACTCACTGACAGCACAAGCAAGGTGATAAAATTAAAGAGGAAACTGTTTCCAATCACCCTGTAAGGGTCCGTGTGTAGACATGAATTCAGAATTCATATCTAATTAAAGCAGGTATTCCAAAAACCTGTATGAGCAATGCTTTTATTGCCCCAATTGACTAATAATGGTATTAGGCACCCACATGTCCTAGCTCTGTTCGGGGTATTTGGGCCCCATCCAGTTAAATCCTCATGGCAACAACATGGGAGGTCAATGCTGCCATCTACACTTCGCAGGCAGGGACACAGGTAAGTGAGAGGCAGGGCTGGCATTCCAACCCCACTGCTTGAGTGGGATGACCTGACCGTCCCCTCCCCATCCCCACCTTGGCCCCCTCCGCTGGCTGGAGTTGAGAAAGCTGCTCTCCGGGGGTGGGCGGCGGGGCTGTGCCACCTTGGGAGGGTTTAGAAATAAGGACGGATAAAATCAAATTCCCAGCATTAAGTTCTGGAACAAGTCTGAACATCATGATAATGGGCATGGGTTTCTAATAAGATGCTTGAAATATAAGGAAGTAAAAGAAGTCGTAGTTATTACAGTGGTTTGTGGCCCTCCAATGCTCAACCCGACCCGACAAAATCATATTCCTTGGTAATTAATTTCTCTCACCAGAGAAATATTAAATTCAATTTAAATTTAAAATAATCTAATTTAAATTTAATTAGTCTACTTAAGGAACAATAATGAAAAAAGGTTGAGAAACACTAATCCAAGGAATCTGATATTTTAAAAACTATTTTAGATTTATAATTTCAAATATTAAATTGATACCAGATATAACTTTTATTTCAAATGTATACAAATTTGATTTTTTACACTTTAAATGTGTAATGGCATGTCTATGGGAATTCTACTTACTAAACCTATACCATTTGGCATAATAAATAAGGTTCCAGTGCTTTGGTGGTTTTGCTGGCTAGACTTAGAAGGCTGCCAGTTTATTTTATTTATTTATTTTTATATATTTTTATTGATTTCAGAAAGGAAGGGAGAGAGACAGAAACATCAATGATGAGAGAGAATCACTGATCGGCTGCCTCCTGCACGCCCCCCACTGGGGATTGAGCCCGCAACCCAGGCATATGCACTTGACCAGAATCAAACCTGGGACCCTTCAGTCCCCAGACCGACGTCCTATCCACCGAGCAAAACCGGCTAGAGCAGGCTGCCAGTTTAGAGTTTGACCAGAATAATATATTGAATTTGTAAATGAAATTTAAAATGAGAATCCTTAGTTAGGTTTGAAAGTAGGGTTAAAAAAGTCTGCTCTTTTACAATTATAAATTAAGTGACCACTTAGCTGGTTATTATTTTTGCATAGAAATTACTAAGTTTATAAATGAATATATGATCTTTATATACTATATTTGAAAATTTGGAGGTTTTATTAAAACTTTGTAGATGTCATAAATTAAATAAAACTCAGATGTAAGTGGCTGTAATCATTCATCCTATTCTGAGCACAAAAGTCACGGCACATATTAAAAAACTGTATTTTCATAATGAAGCCTCCCAACCCCTCTACCCACCTCTTCCTGTTCTAATTTTCTTCAAAAGAACTCTCACCGCCTGGCAGGTTCCGGTTTATTTGCTTCTTTACTGACTCTGTGTCTGTGCCTCTAAGCGGGCTCGCACGTGTCTTGTTCACTCTACCCCAGCCCCTCGCCCGAAGCGTCGTGGGTATGAGGTGCTTCTGGATGAACAAGCCAACCGGCCGGCCGCCTCCAGAGCCCCCCAGGCTTCCTGTCACCCAGGCACCCCGGCAGCAGCGCACACGTTTGTACAAAAGGAAACAGGCCTGAGACGGACTTACTGCGGCAGCGTTTCCTCCAACCTGCATGCAGCGCAGCTGAAACCAAGACCAGTTAGAATCCAGCTCTGTAGACCTGAATGGAAAGAACATTCTTAAATGGTAATACTTTCCTTCCCCCAGATCAAGCCACTCAACTTTTGAGAACAAGATTTCCTTGCTCTCCGGATCCTGAAGAATTCTGCGTTTGTGTTAACAGTGACCCACGCTTCCAGGAGGCTGGAACTCTGAGTGCAGGACCATTGGTACCGCAGCTCCTGCCCCTCTCATCCTTCCTGGAAGCCAAGGCGCTGATGGCCCCACCCACCTGCTCCCCTCCACACCGGCCACAGACAGGCCACGCCAGGCCACGCCAGGCCAGGCCAGCAGCACTTCGGCTGCACAAGCTCCAGCCGGCCACGCCCTCTGGGAGCAGAGCATGACAAGCTTGTGGGCTGCTGGACACTCGGACTCTTGGCCTCACGTCCTTGGTGAGTCATGATCTAAAAGGCGGTGATGGGTCTCTACTCAGCACAGATGTCCTGTCCTGTTTGGACTTTTTCAGGGGTCCAGTTTGACACCAAGCAGGACCCCTGGAGGATGCTCATCCTTCACCATCAAGGAAAGGACCTACCCGCCATCACCGCCACGAGGCAGGAGGGACACTCGGGGCAGAATGCTCGTGAAGTGAAAGCTGCAGTGCCCCCTGCCCCGCCACACCTCTGCCCTGTTCACCTGAACCCTAAGATCACCCCAGAACCAGGTAAAGGCAACGAGTGTATTTCCCAACAATAAAAATCCACCAAGTGATGAGTGTACAGCAGGACAGGCTAGCACAATGCCGGAGTCTTCATGCTGAATCAATAGATGTGCGCACAGGCAAGGCTCTCCCATAGTCCACGCAGCTCACCCCGCACTGACGGGAAAGAATGTGGACGTGTGAGGACAGGTGCAGGTGGAGCAGCCTTCACAAAGAGGGCTCTTAGCCTTGTGAAAGTTAAGATGCTATTTTGAAGCCAATAGCTACCTTCAGGTTAATGATGGTACTAACACATGTCATTATTACATCTACAAATATCTACTTCACGATGACATAAAAAGTAAATATTAAACCGTACTTTGTAAGAAACATATTTCCCAAAGATAAAAATAAACCTCCTTTGGAACTTAATTACCGAGTAAGGTGATGAAATGACATAGGTTGTTCTGAAATTCTTTTTCTGAGAGATCCTGCTGAGTCACCACACTGTGATGACCTGCCCAGACAGAGTGAGGTGCCATCCCCTCCCCACCTGTCACTGGGTGGCAGTTAACAGCACAGTCTCTGGAGACGGGCTGAGGGGCAGACCCCAGCTCTGCCAGGACGAGCTGCAGGACCTGGAGGAGTTACTTAGCCTCTCTGAGCCTTCCTCATCGTAACAATTTCCGGTTACCTATTCATTCACTCCTGTAGAAACGAAGCAAATATGTGCAAAGTTCTGGGCTCCTGGTAAGCACCATATGGCTAAAGGCCTCGCCATCACTATCACCACCGTCACGGCGACCCTGTCACACTGTGGGATAAACACAAGCTCCACGGGGCAGGCATAAAGTAGGTACCTGACTAAACGATGTCCTAAAACGGAAGCTACAGTTCTCAGACTTACTAACCTACCTAAAACTTCTAGTTCTAAAGTATCTTTTAAAAAACAAAGCCAAATATTTTTTATATATTTCTTAGAAATAAAGATAAAAACCTAATGGTTCTTGAATCGAGCTGACAGGGATTCTCTCTCACACACTGGAATTTGAAACAAAAGGTGGTGATGACAGTGAATAAATCAACCTTAAGAAGAAACTTGAACTGCTCAGCGGTGCCCGTTCCTGCGAGGAGGTGACTCACTGTAGGCTGCTTCCTGTCTTTAGTTTAGAAGAAGAGATGGTGAAACCTGATGGAGAACCTGAGTGCTCAGAAAAAGGCAGCGAAGGAAGAAAAGTTGAAGAACTAGTGTCACTTTACCCAATAGCTCCTGCTAACCAACCACTGTAAAGGAGAAAACAGGTTTCCCTCAACCCCATAATCCTTCTGAGTTAAGATACAACATTTCCCCCAATACGCTAGTGTCTGCAATAGTTTTAATCAGTAAAAACAAAAATGTTCAAAGAACAGCCTTCCACCTCTTTAAAAACAAAAGCCACTGAGTTCCCTTGTCACCCTTGACTTTGCCCAAATCCTAGACTATGCCCTCTGAACAGGAGTTTTTAGCAGTTGTTTTGAATCATTTATGAGCACCGTGATTCATACCGTTATATTTATCTGCAAATAGTTCTATTTATCTGGCTGTTAGAAGGCTAGTGACTCAACCTGCAAGAGCCCAGAGAGACGCTGCTGTCCCGCCTGCCAGGCTCCCGTCGGTCCTCCCTCCACGAGGGCCGCCAGAAACCACTCATTTCCTGGAATGGTTTCAACTGCCGGTGCGCTTCAGTGGGGAGGACGGGGAGGCCAGATTAGAAGGGCAGGGCTTGGCAGCGAAGAACAGGAAAAGAGGCCTGACTGGTTTGGCTCAGCAGATAGAGCGTCAGCCTGTGGACTGAAGGGTCCCGGGTTCGATTCCGGTCAAGGGCATGTACCTTGGTTGTGGGCACATCCCCAGTAGGGGGTGTGCAGGAGGCAGCTGATCGATGTTTCTCTCTCATCGATGTTTCTAACTCTCTATCCCTCTCCTTTCCTCTCTGTAAAAAATCAATAAAATATATTTTTAAAATATATTTAATGTTGATCCTGTTCCAACATTAAAAAAAGAAGAAGAGGAAAAGAACAGAGCAGAGAGAAAGACAAGCAGCTCCGCCTGCCTCGAGGCCAGCCTGCCTGGCTCTGGGCAGAGCAGGTCCCGTGTTAGCTGGTAACAATGGATCTGGGGTGTGAGGGAAGCACATTAAAAATAAAATGGTGGGGGCTGGTGGGGAGAGATGACTCAGGGAATTTATATGTATAGATGCAGAGCCCACGGACACAGACAGTAGTGTGGTGAAGGCCTGGGAGGGGCGGGTGCTGGGGGGAGGGGGTCAATGGGGAAAAAAAGGGAATATCTGTAATACTTTCAACAATAAAGACAAATTTTAAAAAAGACATGAACAACAAGACCATCATAAAAACAAGCTAAACTTGCCCTCGCAACTAAATCCCTCAATATTTAAAGAGACAAGGACAGGATGTGAATTCAAAATATTCTGACACCAGCTAAGAAAAAGGGAGAGAAGAAACTGGTAGATACTCTAAAACCAATAAGAACACACAGAAGAACCCCCTTTTCAAGATAATTACCTGTGGAGTTACATGGCTATAAATATTTAGCACATCAGGCCTTTGCAAATTGCTTTCTGAAAAGAGAGCTCAGGAAAATGCATCAGGAAAGTTTTTTAAAAAGAAAATTATGTTGCTATTATTACTATTTAGTTTTTGTGCTAACATACAAAAATCTCTTTCTGAGTTACAAGACTTTATCCTTTAGTAATAAATGCTCTTTATAGTAATTGCATTGTATCAATAGGCCTTAAATCAACATCAGATAAAATCGCTGTCACAATCCCAAATAGCCTGCCTCCTAGCTGGTTGCTCCCCCGGGAAAAGAAGTGGCAGGGAAGCAGGTGACGTGGTGGGAGGCGGCCAGTAACCACAGTGATGCCCAGAGGGTGCCCGGCCAAGGCCCAGGGCTGCTGAAGCGCAGGCCTCCTCGGCTTCTGAGCCCTGTGTTCGACAGGAATCTTTTTATTATCTCTTTTTAAAAAATATGTGTGTTTATTGATTTCAGAGAGGAAAGGGGAGAGAGAGAGAGAGAGAAACATCAATGATAAGAGAGAATCATTGATCGGCTGCGTCCTGCACACTCCTACTGGGGATCAAGCCCACAACCCAGGCATGTACCCTTGACTGCAATCGAACCTGGGACCCTTCAGTCCGCAGGCCGATGTTCTATCCACTGAGCCAAACCAGCTATGGCTATTTTTATTATTTCCTATATTCTTCTGTTTCTTCTACCTCACACCAGGGCACTTGCCACCTCCCACTGGACTGTGGGGCTGTGTGTGTCCAGAGGGGGCGCCTTTCTCTCTCGCAGACCAAGGCCCCAGCCAGGCTACTTCCATACCGTGTGAGTGGAAGACAGGAACTTGCCAGAAGGAGCCAATGCAGCCCAAAACTTTAGATGAAAAGAGGAGAAAGATGTTCATAGTATAAGCATTTGAAACTGCCACGAAAATTCAAATAAAAACCATCACTCAGGCTTTGTGGGATCAGCAGCCTGGGAGCCAGAGCTGTAGGATTGTGCTGGAACCCTGACATTAGCTCTCCACCTGACGGGGTGTAGGGTGGACCCACGGGGAGTGCCTCAGCGGCCCCTCTACAGGAGGCCATTTGTATCCCTCCCTTAACGGACAGTGTGCGTGTACCTGGCACACACAAAGTGGGCGTGTCCGGAGCCCACGGACTAGCAGTCTAGTGGGCAAGCCCATTAGTTACCAGGGTGGATCTCAGCAAGCAAGGACAGGATGCAAAAAGTTCCCTAGACAGGGGCCAAGAGGCATTGGCGATCTCAAGAAGAGTCTAGAAGGGCAGAGAGTGGCAAAACCCTGCGCAGGAAATGGCCCCGTGGACGGAGGTGACGGCAGAGATGAGGTGTGCACGGCCCAGCGCAGGCGAGTCTGAGGGCACCCCCAGACTTGGTGGTCGGAAGGCTGGCTCCGGGGGAGAGCACGGGTTTCTAACTGTTGTCAGAAGATCATCAGGGAAAGGAGACACTGCCTCAAGCCCTCCGTCCTGATGGTCCATGCCACGGCCTCCTGCCCCGACACAGAGCTCGGTGTCACAGAAACTAAACAGAAACCAGCTCACTTGCCCAGTTTACTGAGTTATATCACTTAAATCTCCATAACTCATAACCAACCTCTCATTGTACTTGATGTCAAAGGAAACGTAACGGAAAAAGGGGAAAGAGCTCCATGTGACGCTGCACCCTCCCACCCCAACGGGGACAGACTCGCTTACCGAATGAAACTCAAATGGACTCCAAGTGACCGGTGTGACCCCGAGCAGTCGATGCAAAGAAACACCCCGTAGGTTATGCTTGCCCAGCTGGGGTTTTTGGCGCCACAATCAAAACACACCTGAGAGAAAATGTGAAAAGTCGACTATTAATTACTTTACATTGGCCAAGTGAGCCCTCCCACAGGGCACAATATATGAGTTAGCTGGAAAACTGCTTAACTTTTACAATTTAAACTGGCGAATAGAAACTATCTCACCTAGATTTTTAAAACCTGAAATCTGACCCTGGCCAGGTAGCTAAGGCGGTTAGAACCCAATATGCCCAGGTTGTGGGGTCACCCTCCAGTCAGGGCGCATGCAAGGATCAGCCAATGAACGCATAACCATGTGGAACAAGAAGTCGATCTCTCTGGCTCTCTCACTCCCTAAGGTTAATAAAATAAAAACTTTAAATTTCTATTTCTTTCATTATTATTTTAATTATACATTAATAGAATTAGATTACTACACCACATGAATTATATATTATATAATTCTGAGTCTGTTATAATACTCTGCAGTACGGGAAGCGAAGAGAACTCAGGCGTGTGTCTCAGACATCACCTGTCCATGAAGCATTCACAGGTCCCACCGAGCAGGTAAATGAACACCAGCCATGGAGGCCCTGCGGGGCGCACTCAGGCCGCACTGCCCGGACGGCGCCCTCTGCCGGAGGGCAGGTGTGCACACGCCTCTCCGCGGCCGGAGGAGGAGAGCGTGGGGCCAGACTCCAAGGTGCCCAGTGAGATATATTATATAATTCTGAGTCTGTTATAATACTCTGCAGTACGGGAAGCGAAGAGAACTCAGGCGTGTGTCTCAGACATCACCTGTCCATGAAGCATTCACAGGTCCCACCGAGCAGGTAAATGAACACCAGCCACGGAGGCCCTGCGGGGCGCACTCAGGCCGCACTGCCCGGACGGCGGCCTCAGCCGGAGGGCAGGTGTGCACACACCTCTCCGCAGCCGGAGGAGGGGAGCGTGGGGGCCACACTCCAAGGTGCCCAGTGAGCCCCCCGCTGGTGTTCACTCCCTGGGGAAGCCCACCCTCACTTGCCCAGGGTGGCCTGTGCGAGGTTATAAAAGACGCCATGACTTCCCTTCTCTCTCATGCCCTCTCTCTTGGATCACTGGCTCTGGGGGAAGCCAGCTGCCGGTCTTAAGGACCCTCGGGCAGCCCATTGGGGAGGCTCAAGTGGAGAGGAACTGAGGCCCTGAGTCCCAGTGCAGAGTGGGATGGCGCAGCACTACATGACGCGCTTGGGGGTGAAAACCCCAGCTTTCGGATGACCGCGGCCGCAGGGAGACCCCAGCCTTCCTTCCTCAACACTGACTGACGCCAACATTCATCTGATAACAGGAGGGTAAAAGTACTTTAAAATATGCAGTGTTTGTCGTGGAAATTAACACAATTAAAGTCAGAACTACAGCCCTGGCCGGTTTGGCTCAATGGATAAAGCGTCAGCCTGCGGACTGAAAGGTCCTGGGTTCAATTCCAGTCAAGGGCATGTACCTTGGTTGTGGGCAGATCCCCAGTAGGAGGTGTGCAGGAGGCAGTTGATCGATGTTTCTCTCTTATCGATGTTTCTAACTCTATCCTATATAATAAAAGCATAATATGCAAATTGACGAACAGGGAAAGAATGGTCGCTATGACACGCGCTGACCACCAGGAGGCAGACGCTCAACGCAGGAGCTGCCCTCTGGTGGTCAGTGCGCTCCCACAGGGGGTGTGCGGCTCAGCCAGAAGCCAGGCTCATGGCTGGTGAGCGCAGCAGAGGTGGTGGGTGCCTCTCCCACCACCTCCGCTACAGGCAGGTGGTAAGAAGCAAGGGGTCCCGGACTGAGAGAGCCCTGGACTGTGCGAGAGGGGTCCTGAACTGCGAGAGAGCACAGGCCAGGCTGAGGGACCCCCACCCCCCAGCGCATGAATGTTGTGCATCAGGCCTCTAGTAATCATAAAAAAGACCTGGCACCTGGCCTTTTGAGGGCAATACAAGAACAAAAACATGAGTGGGTTTTCCAAAGCCCCTCAGGGCAGACTCACATTCAGCATGCATGAATTGTAGGGATGGGGAGGGATGCAATTGACATGAAAGGTACCAGGCATTCACTCCAATGGTACTGGTACCAGACATGGGCAGGCACTGGGGTATTAAGAAGTAGATGGCATCACTGGTTCCACAGACACTGGCTGAGCTCCTACTCACCGCCAGGCTCGTGCTGGCCTTAGGAAGAGAAGGGCATGGAAATTCAGACACCTGTGGTAAAAGCTTTTAGAGTAAGGCATCCCTTTCCATGGGACTCGTCGTGCCAAAGGTGCTGTCCCTCTACAGGAGGCCATTTGTATCCCTCACTCACTCAACGGACAGTGTGCGTGTCCGGAGCCCACGGACTAGCAGTCTAGTGGGCAAGCCCATTAGCTACCAGGGTGGATCTCAGCAAGGACAGGATGCAAAAAGTTCCCTAGGCAGGGGCCAAGAGGCTGGCTCCAGGGGAGAGCACGGGTTTCTAACCAGGTGACGTCAGCGTCCTCCTGCCCCCGCCCCCCACCTGAGACGAGGGGTTGCTAGAATGCAGCTCCACGAGGGGGGCCCAGTCTGTCTTATCAGCTGAGCTGAGCACCGGCCTGGCACAAAGTGGCCTAAACGCAAATACAGGCATTGGGGCGGTTTGGAGGGTGGAAGGCAAGGCGTTGGGAGTGGGACCTGAGGGCCTGGCAGTCGGGAGGCAGTTGGAAATACAAGTCCGGCTCTCACAATGCCGCCCTGGTGCCCGGCCGGAGCCCGAGCCTGTGCTTTGAGAACAGGGGTTGTGCTGGGTGTTGATATGTGGCCAGAGCCAAGACCTGCTTTTCCAAGCAGATCAGCTGTTACGGTGATGACAAAGAAAGTTTTGACTAACCACTTGTTCTGCCTAATGATGAGAACAGTCGCTATAGAAATAATGGCTAATGCTGCGTGCTTACTCCTGCCAGGCACTGCCGCTGGCCAACTGAGCTCCACAACAACCTGGGAGGGTGCTGCTGCGACCCTCGGGCCCTTCCAGGGCAGGTGTCCTCGGCGCAGTCCCACAGGCCCGCACTCAGCCGGCTGCGGGTGGTCAGGGCTCTGCTGTCCCATCTCAAAAGTCTTAATACTTTCATTCTCATTCCGTGTTCCCCAGAATTAGGTAGCGCGGCTTTGATCCCCATTTTAGAGAAAATGAAGGAGTGATGAAGTATCACAGCTAAGGAAAGCCACCTCGGAGCCTGGGCCGGCGGTCTGCACGGACCTTCCGCTCCCCGAGGCAGGAGCCGCTTTTGTTAGGGAGCACAGCGCCCCTCACTGCTCCGCACTGTGCCCAGCACACGCAGGTGCTCAGAGGATATTTGTCGAATGAGTCACTCAAACAATCAATGAAAAAACAAGGAACAGCGAAGCTTCAGGAAGGAGTTCACAAATGAGGAAACTGACCCTTGAGTTAGAACCTGGGGTCCCCACACGAGGGGAGGAAACTGGGTACCACATGCTGAAAGTAAACCGAGTTGCTTTTCTGTCTCGTGTATCTCAGAGCTGCTCTTTAGAACCCGTTTTGAAAATGCTTATTGTCACCCAACTCATCCACTAGTTAAAACTAGTTTTCATCTTTGTTTAGGAAACTTTCTTGCTCACGATCAGATAAAGTCTTCATCAAGAAGTGTAGCAGGCGCTGTGGAACACTGCCAGGAAGTTTTTTTGCTCAGTGCTTTTATTAGTCCTACTACAGACTAGGAAGTGTCCCCTACGTGTGTTGTTCATAATAACAATAACGAAAACAGTTGGCACGTGTTGAAGACTAGTGATTGCAGGTACTGCTCGAAGGCTTTTCTGGGATGTTCTCGCTTAATCCTCACAGTAACCCCTGAGTTAGATCATGTCCGGTTTCAGATGAGGAAAATAAAGCACAAATAAGTGACCAAGTGGCCTGCCCGAGGCGACAGTTAGAAAGCGGCAGGTCCGCACAACCTCACACAGGTGTGCCCAGGCGTGTCCCTCCACGTGCCTCCTGGTAGGAAGGCACTGACGTCTATTTTAAAAGGGCACCTTCCCTTGGATGAATTCCATCGAAGAGAATCCATGTTCCGCTTCTGAGGTACAGCAGACCAGAACACACAGCTTCCACCATGCCGACTGCAGCCCCCAATGCTGTCTAGATGCACGGGGACCCACTCCTGATTAACAGGTGACTCTCAACTGGAACATCCCGGGGAACACCGAGGAGCTGCCACTGGAGGCTTCCTCCTCCTGACTTTCCTTCCTCAGGCGTCGCTTTAATAAATCGTTTCCTTTCTTGCTCCTGGAAAGGCTGTAAAATTATGTGCTCCCCTCCACCATCGAGACGTAAAACGAAGACATCTAACTACTGCAAAACTCAGGAACTCCCTGTGCCACCAGGTCGTGGCTCATGGCCATGCTCCTTAACAGCTGTTTACGTGGGAGGTGACCATGGGGCCCCGCAGGACCTTCACAGGAGGAGAGGAGAGAGTCCACGCTGACGGGACAGCCCTTTGCACTCTCCAGGTGCCACTCGGACCTGTGAGCGGACCTGTGACCCCCAAAGAGGGAGTCACCTCAGCCCAATGCGTCATCACACCTCCAGCCGGTCTCCAAAAGTTGTAAAGTCTCCAAAAGTTGTAAAGTCTCCAAAAGTTGTAAGGGGCCCAGGGGCCGGGAGGGGGCAGCCTCCGGAGGTGGGAAAAGGGCAGACCCGCCCCTCTCCAGGGAGACGCAAAGGGCGGGAAGGGGAGCGCCTGTGTTGGGGTTTCTTAGAAAGAGGAGCGAGCTGGGAGCCACGCACAGACCTGGCAGCTCCATCAGACCGGAGCGCGGCAGCTGCCCTCCGGGACCCAGGGAGGCAGAGGGGCTCCCACAGGCGCCCCCAGGAACCTGAAGGGTCCGCTCGAGGGTGAGGAGGGGGCGAGCGAGCTCCCCTCAACGCCCAGGGCTACCAGCGGGGGTTCTGACCCAGTGCACGCGTC